AAAATCCCACAATTTAGGACGAAACGTTGACAGTTATTTTTAAAAATAAGAACCTAACTTTTAATACTTTCTGGCTTTGATTTCACACCAAAAACCAATGGATAGTTTGCAACATTCCTTTATTCCACTATTACAAAAGTAATGGATAATTTGAGTAATTTACATTATGTACTCTTTACAAAAGCAATGGTTGATCTCTTTTTTTAGTAATGGATAATTTGTAAATTACTTTCATTAATATTTTCTCAACCCTGCCTTGAAATAATAAGAAGCTCCCCCCTGTGTCTTGCCCAGATTAACTTTTATCGAACTTCACCCTCTTTACAGAGCTTTATTGTTTAATTTGGAGTGCATTGTTGGAATATGTAGTTTATCCATAAAATTGTATATTACCTGGATATTATACAAGCCATCCAACATTAATAGTTACATGTTTCAAGTGGAATGATGGTTTTCTTTCAAAATAATGACTTCTTTGTTTAGTCCAGTTAGTTTACAAAGTAGCCAAGTAAAAACGTCAACAGTTTCCTCTAAATCATTTGAATTCCTATAAATAGTATACAATTTTATTAGTACATAAATAAAATTTTGTTTAAAATCAAAATATTAAATGTTGTATAGATTTAAGTTCAAGGCGATCTTGTAATATTTCGAAGGAACGGATTATGCTATCTATGTATGCAAATTTCACGAATTTGATACAGTAAAACTTTAGGGTGCAACTGAATAACATTTTATTACATACGTATGTAAATTCTCTCCAATATGTCGAGTGGCCTCTGAGGGACTGTTTGGACAAAAAACTTTGACAATATGGCTACGAAATAAAAAAGGGGAAGACAACTCATTCCTGGAAGTTTAATTAGTAGAATCGAAAGCAAAATTTTCGATGACATGATGCAGGCTGATAATTATAAAATTTGTTTTTACAAGGTGGCTTAGTTTTACTTGTTTAGAAATTATATTTGACGCCATATTACTAAGACTAAGACCGAACATGCAAAACAAAGACCAAATACATAAGACTAAACTTCCGGTACAATTATGAGCTAAACTATTTGAAGCAACTTCTTCCTCTTCTTGGAACAAATTTGAAATGTCGTGTTACAGACGAATGATGAGGATATCCTGGACAGAGAAGGATAGGTTAGAAGGATACCTTCTCAGGCATGAAGGTCTAGTCAGAGACATATTAGAGGCAGAAGCAGGAGTTAGGAGGGGTAGAGGTAGACCTAGATTAGATTACTGTTCGCAAATAGCTAAGGATATGGATTGTTCTACTATAGTTTTAGGAAAATGCGAAGATTACCTCAGGATAGGAAAGAGTGGAGGAGCGTATCCAATTAGGACTGACGACCTTATGAGGATGATAATTCTTTCCTTTTATCATTTTTTCGCTAAAATGCCAATTTATGCATTGAAGGAAGGGTAAGTTCTTAAAAAAAGTCAGTTTTTTAAAAGTAATGACAAGCTCGCATGTATGATAAGTTATTTCAGCATTTAAGATAATTATTGTGTTGGTTAATAAGAAAATTTCTACTTTTTACTATTTCTAATATACTTGTGTGTAAGTGAAACCAAACTGAGTGTTTTATTTATTTAACCATTGAACTATTTAAATATGGTTAACGAAAAAAAAAATGCTGTGTAATGTTCACGAAGGAAGAATTTGTTGCTAAATTAAAAATCATGCAATTATTGTTTTCGGCTAAAAGTATGATGAAACTTGATTCAAATTATACCTTGATTCTCAACGTTAGGTCATCTAATTACATATATCATGGTAATTTATGTGGTTCTAATTGGATTTTTAATTAAAATAATGTGACTTGACGATATTTCTGGTTTCTATTAGCATAAACTGTTCTCTTAAGGTGTAACAAAAGCCAACAGCATCCCACTTATTATATCGCTGCGTGGCGATATCTCTCACTGAAATTACCATAATTTGGTAAAACATTTTTTTATTGAAAAAACCGACAGAAAGCGAAACTGCTTCTTTGTATCCAATGTTCTATTTGACGTCATGGTGCCATGACCGCGTCGAAGGAGGCTGCATTCCTATTCCATTCTATTGTTATTATCATTATTAAACAAATTGCGACACGTGTGTTACTCCTAATTTCTATCATTTCTTAAAGTTTAAACAAGCTAGCGTATTCTCGGTTTAATTAAATTGAAAATATTTACTTCGAATAATTAATCTTCTATACTTAGTAGTAGTATATAGTTATCAATGTATAGAGAGATAATTATGCAAAACATTTATAGTAAAAAAATAGTACTATAACCTTTTATAAATGACAACAAATATAAAGAACCAACAGTAGTATCTACCAATAAAAAAATTAGAATATGCGTCCAAATATAATTATTGTTTTCCCTTGATGGTAACAAACTTAATAAATAGAAAAGAAACCCTTAATAAATACAGTACACAGTTCCCTTAAATAGTTTAATAAAGAAAGTACAAACGAAGTGTATAAATTTAGTATTTTGTTGTGATATTCCTGATGAAAAAAAAAAACGACGAAATAATTAAAAGTTTGACAAAACCCTTCAAAGTGCTTGTTAGATTTTGAAATTAAATTAAAACACTTGTAGTTTTCACAATTTTATTGTTAACCTGATAATGTTTCGCCAATTGTGACTTCTTCAAAACGTACAAATTTACTTGTAACTCTGTAAACTTCATACTATCGGAGAGGTCATTATGTGAAGAAGGAATTATAGGAAAATTTCACAGTACATAAAACTGTGGAAATTATAAATGCTTTCGTTTAATTTTACAATGAATTTCTATCATGTAAAACCAGATAAGTACAGTAAATTAATGTGTTTCCCTGTCTTCTTTTGAGGTTTATTTAATTCTTGTATTGTCTTTAATTCAATTATTACATATTTAACCTAGTTTGATTCAAGGTGGTAATATTTAAGAAAATCTAACATTTGAAATTATGCAAAAGTACAACTATAAAATCATCATTTATTCTTGAGCTGGCTAGTATGATCTTAAAAATTAAAATACGTAACTGACCATAATAAATATAAGATTGGAAGATATAAATTGACCTTTATCACTAATTAGAATTTATTTTATTAGATGTTTCGTTTTAATTTATTACAATTTCCTTCAAAACCGACGCACATTATCAACCAAAAATTATTTCAATGAATAAAATTTATAAACAATCAACTTTTTTTGCTGAATTCCCCATTGGAGATTTCAATGTGAAGATGAGGACTTATGTTTTTATACTTTAATAAAGAAAACTAGAAATATTTCGTTTATTTTGATATGCTGATAGAATTGGTTTTATAGCATTTTTAATTGATTTATTACTGAATAATGCATTAAAAAATTAATTGACAATCTTCATGTCAAGTATTAGGTAACAATCGGGTTTCCTTATTAATGTAAATTCTTCCTGAATTTTACGATTTTCTAAATAAACGACTTTTTTTGTCGGTTACATATTCTCAGTTTACTAACGTATTCTATTCATTTTATTTACAGAAAGAATTAGTTTTATATATTTCCTAGTACATTATCTGAATTTCATACAATTCCTAGGAAATGTATACATTTCCCAGGATATGTGTGTATTAAAAAATCTTTGAAACAATATTTTATACATTTCCTTGGAATTGTATACAATTCCTAGATTTCATACATTTTCGGTAACANATATATAATTAATTATTGATAGTTAATCACATAATTAAATAACTCATTCTTAAACTCTCTAAAATTAACACAAGATTTAATAGCCTCAGGTAATTTTTTTCAAACTCTTCTTAGTCTAAAAGAAGGAGAATGAAAGATATAATCTTTACTTGAATTAATTTCCCGAAAGTTACGTACTGATCTTAATTTATAAACACCAACTTTGGTTTTAAAAATATTTAACAGCGGATTAGTGACTCTATCTGTATCATAATAATAATCATGAAGTGACTTTACAGATGATAAACCAGCAATCTTAGCAATATTAACGTAATCATGATCAAAGAAAACAATATTTTATAGATTTCCTAAATAGCCTCAGAATTGTATAATTTTCTAGGAATTGTATACAGTTTCTAGATTTCATACTGACACAAAATGGAAACATGAAAATTCATGACATGTTGTTCAAATAAAGAAATTGTTGAAACAATGACGTATAACTCCTTAATAAAGAAAATAAAAACAGACAAATAAACCAAAAGATGTTATCTAAAATTCTAATTAAATTTGTAGAAGATTATTAAGCAGTTATTAAAGTAATACATAAAAAGAGTATATTGCATACTAAATTTACTCTTCAAACAACAAATTCTGTTAGACTAAATGTTACTGGGATACCTAAGTGTAACAAAAATGATGTTAATTGAAATTAAGATTGAGCAACAACAGCTTTTTATTTTTTATTGCAAAAACAACATCAATACTTTTGCCAACAAAATAGTTCCAGAATGATAATAAATAATACTGTATACGAGAGCAATCCAAAATAATGTCATGGTTAATAACCATAAGATGTGGACAGAGTTTATGAAAGATAAAATTAAACTTTTCTGAGAAACATAAAATTACTTATAACAATCGAACGAACCTTCATTTTATTTACTCTAATAATTATGAAAAATAACATAAGAAAACATTCATTTAAGTGTCGGTTTAGTTATTAAGTAGGGAAAAACACCCCATGTTCCACGCAAATTGAACATAAAAAAGTGAAAAGTAAAATGTGCATGTATGATGTAGATAAAAAGATGTATAATAATAATAAAAAAATTAACGTATTATGTTGACCTTGGTTGACGTGCAATAATAAATTTTTACGAACAATTCCATACTTCTAATATTAAAAATTAGCATCATCGAACAAAATCCGAAATATTGAAGAATATGGAAAACAACAAAGAGTTTTAAAAGCAAACAAAGTTGAAGTTGCCTTATGGTAATAAGGATGACAAGGTCAAGATTGTTGGAGGTATAAAAGGTTTTTGATGTTCGTTGCTACAGTAGTTCGTTATTAAAGTGTTTACATATTTTTGGTCCAAAATGATCAGTGCGTTTCGTCAAGTTGTGCTTTTATGTACCCTATTCGTTTTCGTTAATTCTGCTAAACTTCGTAAGTTCTTACTTTATAGAATTTTGGTTTCTTCGTAATCACGAAAATTAGTTTAATTATTTCGTTACATAAATTGGTAATTAAATTTTAATACTTTTATTACTTCTCAAAGTGTCTAGTATCTATTAACAACATTGGAAATTATATTTGTAAAAGTAGTTGAAGTCAACTAAAAATTGTAACATAAAAAGAAGTAGCAATAAATATAAACGAACAAATATTAATGACCAAGTTAGCCAAAATAATTGTCGTGTTTTGTTAAAATGTATTTATTGAAGTCTGTTTGAGATCTTTGTAATTATATTAATAACAATATAATTAACATTACGTAAAGTCAAGTTGTACTTACGTATTTGTTAAATATTCATTTTATAATTATATTAGTAGAAAGGTCTCTTATTTGGTGAAACATTGTAAAAGATAACTTATAACTTTTGACAAAATTACTAGCAGTCTAAACAATTTAAGTTATTCTATATTAATTGTTTTGCATATATTTTGTAAGAAAATAGTTTATTAAATCATATCTTTTAAATATTGTAATTATAGATGACAACAAGGAAGCACCTTGATGATATTTGTAATTAATCAGTTGTTAAAACACCTAAAAATTATACTATTTTACGAAATGTCTGCTTCAAATATGAGACAGAGATGATTAACATAATGTTATTAACAATTTTATGGCTACGCGGATGTTAAAATCATTGCATTTGTTGATCAAAGTGGTTAAATGTTAAGTCAGAAACTAAGAAATAAATACAGTAATACTAAAAATTGATGGAAGAAACTAGAACAAAAACTAAGACACTAATACGTACAATACATACTAAGCTTCCTTTTCGCTTTGTCTCTAGCAAAGAAATTAAATAATTATAAATTAAATTACTTGGTTTCTAATGTCTTTCAAATTTAATTTAATTTTTATTTATTTAAAATCTAATTTTGTCGGTCTATTGGCGAAGTTAAATTCATATAATAATTTAATTTTTATTTACACCACAAGAAATACCTAATAATGACAAATATAAAAATTTTTTTATTAAAATTTGTTATTTCTAGCATCCTATCTAAAACCATGTAGTAAATCAGACCCTAACTTAAACAAGTGTGCCATTAAACATGCAAAGGAAGGCTTACCAGTCCTTGCAAAGGGTAAGTTTACAATCAAATTTACAAGAAAGGCATATGTAAGCTAAATAATGATGTTATTTTATTATAGGTGACAGGGCTTATCATATCCCAAGTTTAATACCCCTACACATTCCCGAAGTTAGAATTCAATCAGGGGAAAATTTAAAAATTATTATCAAGAACGCAGTCATAACAGGACTTGATAAGGCCGATATACAAGATATGAGGTAAGAATAATAATTTCATCATAAAATCATATTTTACATTTTATTTGTCTTATGTTTATTATTTAATCACTACTAATTAAATAACATAAATGCTAAAGTCGTAAAGAAAACTTTTTATTATTTTAAACCTGTTGTTCGTAAATGTTTGCAAATGTACCCATACGTATAATTAATTATTAATTTATTTTCAGTATAGATCTACCAAATCGCAAATTCTGGCTTAAGGCAAACATCGATTACGTCAATTTAGTTTCCGATTACGAAATCGATGGCAGAATATTAATTTTGCCCATCAAAGGAAATGGGCCTGCCAACATTACTTATGGTATGTACAGTAACAATATCGTGTAAACGCGAAAACTTTGTTCAATAATCAAGAATGATTTACCTTAAGTATCAAAATTGTAATCTCCTCCATATTGGACATATCGGCCCCTGTTCCTTGTTGACACAGTGTTAATTTTCCATACCACTAACAGAGAAAAATATATTTTAGAATATTCGAGCAATTACATTATTCCAAAAATATTAATATTCGTATAAATCTACAAATAATGTAAAAGACAGTATCATCCTATAAACATTCTTTATTTATCTTTTAATGCGGTAACATTACAGCAAAATGCATCAAATTATCACCTGAAAATAATCAATTATTTAAACTACTTACACATTACATGCACCAAAACAATTATTTCAATAAAACAGTTGTCAAAAGCTTTATAATAATATTAAAAACGTTTTCTTACCTTAAATATTTAATTATTTCAACGACGAATATTCTGCGTCTTCTCGTATTTACGAACACTTTAAACTGAATAAGTCTCAGTTTGCTAGTAGAGAGCAGCTTTTTTATTGCTGTTAAAGCAGATAACAAATATATGTGTACGTAACTGCTCCTTTTTAATCCATCCAGGCAGAGTACGGTTCTCTGCCCTATTAGAGGACATCGTAAGATGATATGACTCTTTTTAATGCCTTTCGAAGTAAAAACACACAAACAACGTTACGCTGTGATATACAAGTGTATTTGAGTATACAGGATAATTTGCAATATAAATGATTAGATGAATATTTGAAATTTTTTTATATTTGCATAATTTTTTTTTATAAAAATTGGAGATACTTAATCGGATGTTTGTTTTAGTTGGAGGAGTTTACACTTATTCGTTTGATTTTGATCTCGTTGACAAAAATGGTAAGCAACATATCAAAACTAAAAACAATAAATTGGAGTACACAGTGCAAAGGGCATATTACCAGTTAGATAATCTTTTCGGTGGAGATAAAGCTTTAGGTAAGTCTTATAAATAGGTATTAAAAACACTTCAGAAAGATAATTGTATTTACAATTTTTTAATGCAAAAATTATTATTTGTCTGCACTAATGTTTCGCCCTAGAATATCGTCTTCAAACATGAAATACTTCATTAGTGAAAACAAATTTTCAATTACTCAAATGATTAATTGTTAAAACAATTTATACCTATAATTTTGTAATTTTTAGGCGATCAAATGAATTCGTTTTTGAACGAGAATTGGCAGGACGTCGATAAGGATCTTGGACCTTCTTTAACCGAAGCAATTTCTCAAATTATCCAATCAATTGTGACAGCAGTTTTTACAAAAGTTCCTTTCGATTATATATTCGAGCCCTGAATAAATTATTTAATTTACTATTTATACTTTTAGTTAATAAATAATAAAGTTTTATTGCAAAAGAGTNGTTCAAACAACTGAATGTCATGCACAGGAATAGGCAAAAAGATCTATGGGATATCAAAGAGAAGATCGTTCGAAATAAGACAATTATGAAATTTATCTCAAAATATAAAATATCTCAGACTGCATTCGAAAGAGAAGGGCAACATTTTTGGGACATACCTACAGAATGGATCCAGAAAGACTAACCAACAGGATAGATATTCTCTTTGAAATCAAGAACTCAAAATAACTTTGGCAGCAGGTAATATGAAAGAACCTGGATGAAATTTGAATACAAGAAACGGAAGCCAGAATGAGAGAAAAAAGTATACATAAATTAAATCAGAAATTATATCCTCAACCCTAGCGTCATGGATTAAGGAAAGGAGAGGATTACATTTTATATGTTCTTACCTACTTATTTATATTATATTTCACAGGAAGAAACACCCTTTTGATGACATTATTTATGCTAACTACATTATGTTAGTAAAAGTTCATATTTTCAAATGTTTTTAAAAGTATTTGTTATTTAGACGAACAAATAGATTGCACACGAACTCACCAGTCTTTAATTGTTCTGCAATTCCGACGCGTAAGTTCTACAACACACATCTTTTTGAATACGAGCATAATAAGTGACGGATTCGGGGAGATGGGGATGTAAGTTAGTTGATGGGTTCTTTGTCCAAGACAAACCCATACGGATACGATCCGAGACGTGGAAAGTTGCCATCCACCATCGTCGTGGCATCGGAAGTCTTTAAGGGATGCACCGGTTTCGATGATTCACTGCACTTTAAGATAAATCGAAGTTCGGAAGCCATTTGTGAACATAATGATATCTGGAGTTAAGAAATAGTAAAATTTGTTTTCAAAAAATAAAAAAAACAAACAGAAATGAAATCCGCTTATAATCAACAAAAAACTTTCGTTATATTAATCCTTTTGGCAGAGAGGACTATGTCAAAAAATTGATTACAGGAAAACTTAAACTAGTAACTTGCTGGAAACATGAAATTTTTAGATATTATTTGCTTCATTTCTTCTAAAAAATTTTTGGTATAGTGAAATACAAATTTTACAATACTAGTTTAAAAAATAAATTGAAAGATAAGAAATTGAATTTTTGTTATGACTTACCTCCTATATTTCCAATTTAATGCAGCATAAGAAATTACATTTCTTAAATAGTTAGTTTACTATTTTCGGAATACAGTTTTCCTCAATAATTACTTTGTCGTATGATTTTTTACTTTTTTGTTTCTAAAATAAAAACAAAAGAACAAGCCAATTTATATTATTTCTTTTTTGTCAAATTTGATAAATAAAATCTAATACTTTTCTGTTGTCTTACTAAATATTACGATAAAAATATTAAATAAAGACATAATAAGCTGCAGGTTCAATTTTTCTATTATAAATGAATGCAAAACGCTAAAAAGAATTTAATTTCTTAATGTTTCTTACTTTTCATATTAAATTGCCGTTATATTCGGTTAATTATTTACTATAAGGAAACTGAGATATTAATAAAAATAAATAAATAACTGACGTGTGGAATTCTGCTCACCCTTTCTTCGATGGCGACTTTCCGTGATTTCCAGACGAATTCGCACACTGCAATGACGCAAGCTACCCCCATGCCGCCCATAAGGACAACAAACACCCCACCGATATTTGCAAGACCCAAAGCGTTCGCTGTACTGCTAGTTTTCGTAGTTTCATCCTATCCAATAACAGCAAAAAATAGTAATAAAACAAACCCTTATTGGAAGACAAATAAAATTGAATAGTATTATACTTACATTGCAAGCACCTCCACCCCGTTTCTCCTTCCACCATCTCGTCTTCAGTACGTGCAATTTTCCTTCTTCTTGGAGCTTGAGGATGGCTCCACTTATTGCAGTTCGAAACGGTGAATCTAGAAGTACAAGAAAAGCCCAATTCTTTTTCCAGAGTGTCGTCAAGCAATTTTCTTTGGATAACATTAATTTAATAAAACGCTCTTCGCAGAGACACTGCGAGAATATAAAGTGAGAAAATTAATTCTTAAAAGTAATATTTTTACGGAACGGCACGGCGGACCGAAGGAATTGCTCGGATTCATTAAAGTGTGTGGTAAAATACAATTTAATTAAGAGAAGAAACGTTAGAAATGGCTTCTTACTTGGAGGCATTGCGATCCCGTACCCTTTCGAGTCGAGTAGTCCTCCGATTTGTGTCAGTTCGCAGTTTCTCTCGATAACATACTCGATTGTCGTCGACTCCATCAAGAAGGCGTAACTGCCTTTGCCCTTAACGACCCTTTCAACCCCTTCAGTATTACTCATGGTGAACACAGATGGCCTGGCGGACTCCATAAACGACCACATTCTCTGATACGTGGTGAAGTTCGAGTCCTGGAACCGACACACTTTTATCATATTGCAGTATCGGCGAATGTTTACGATTCTTATTTCCATTCGGGATGCTTCATGGACTAATGACCTCTTTCTTACAATCTATATTTTTTTTTCTGAAATTGACCTTCAAATACTATTGTTCAAACAACTGAATGTCATGCACAGGAATAGGCAAAAAGATCTATGGGATATCAAAGAGAAGATCGTTCGAAATAAGACAATTATGAAATTTATCTCAAAATATAAAATATCTCAGACTGCATTCGAAAGAGAAGGGCAACATTTTTGGGACATATCTACAGAATGGATCCAGAAAGACTAACCAACAGGATAGATATTCTCTTTGAAATCAAGAACTCAAAATAACTTTGGCAGCAGGTAATATGAAAGAACCTGGATGAAATTTGAATACAAGAAACGGAAGCCAGAATGAGAGAAAAAAGTATACATAAATTAAATCAGAAATTATATCCTCAACCCTAGCGTCATGGATTAAGGAAAGGAGAGAAATACAGTAGTAAAACAAGGAAGGAGACCAATACCTAGTAACTAGTACTATATTACCGTAACTCCTTGCGGATTTGCCTACATTTCATGAGTTTTGTTAATTATCTACTTCTACAGGGTAAACTTGTATGTAAATTCTGCTCAGTTGGGATATTCTTGGGCTAGACTATTTTAACTTCGTCAAAGGTTCTACGTTTTTACCAAGATCAGTAGTCTAGTCTATTACTATTAATCAACTTTCGTAAGTATTACATGGCAAGTCTAATCCTTTCTGTCAGAATATTTTTATTGTGGTACGTCTTTATAACAATAGAAGAAAAATATTATGAAAAGGACTGAGAATCCTCATTAATCGATTCCTTAATTTAGTTTACTGAAGTTTTGTTTTGTACTCGGTTGGTGCTTGAAATTCAAAATGAAAGTGACTACACTTCCTTGCTTCGTTTGTGTCTGAAGCGAGTTCAAATAATAATTATTAGCAACCCCGTTCGGAAAAAAGAAGTTTCGAGGAACTGACACAACAAAAACTTTCTAATTAGATTTATAAGTGTTTTTATAAAAAGTCCTCTTTTTCTTACTTCTTCTTCTGTGAACCAGGACTAAAGCAATCATTACGAAACGTTTAACAATGCGAAAGGAGTGGTTTTTCCCGAAACAACTTTAGCATTAATTAATCCTTCTGTTAACTTCGTTTAAAAATGCACCTCAATTTTAAATAATAATTAAAGATATGCTGATTTATTTGAGGACTCTCGTTGTGTTGCTAGGATTAAAGTTCGTAGAATATTTACAAAATTTCGATTTTGGTTAGTGATAAGTGATAATGTTAAGAATAAGTTATAGCAAAGACAATTTTTTTTTTCAATGTTCATCTTCTGCATTTAATATTTTTTGTAAAATAAATGACAAGATCTATGCAATATATGTATATATGTATGTACTTATTTCCACTAAAACAACAGCCTTCACCAACTTGAATGAAAGTCGCTTATTTATGCAGAAGCTTCTGAAAGCTTGTTTAAGATAGAAAACGATACTCTTGAATAATGCACGGTTTAGTAATCTTTATATAACAATAAGTCCTTAGTTTTGTCTAGAGGCAGCATTACACAATTTCGCAAGATGCCTGAACAAAACTAATTTCTTCCTAAAACCAATGATTTACGTAAAACTAATGTGTGCTATATTTAATCGAACGTACTACCATTAAACTTTATGAAAAAGTACAAGATTTTGCACCTAACTTTTAATTTAAATAAAATATGGAAGGATTCTTTTGGTACACTTTAGATTTGTTTAATTACAATCGTTAATTAAATATTAGCAATATTAACGTATTCCGTCAGTTGGAAAAAAGTGGCCGGGTCTAAATGTGGTGTAAAATTGGTTGCATATATGTAAAGTAATAACATATGAGAATTTCGTTGTAGAGATATTAAGTAACGAAAGGTACAAAAGCTGCTATGACAAATGGAATTCATGTAAAATAGTGGTAATGTAGTAGAGTACGTAGAAATAAGGACGAAGGACAAAATTGCTTCCTGGTTGACCTGTTTCACGTACGTATGAACCTAAAAGACGAAGTAAAAATGTTTGAGTCCGTGATAATAATCACGAAATTGATGTGGGTAATCTGGGAATGCTGCATCCAAGAAATTGGAAGACTAAAATGGAAATGGCTGAGGATTATGGCGGCTAGACACGGTTTTGTATGTATACGTACAAGCAGCTCGTAAAATTGGGACGTTGCAATAGAATTTATTACAAGCAGCAAATGGGTAACGTGAAGCCCAAAATAAAGATAAGGCAGGCGCGTATGAATTCCACCAAACGACCCTAAAGATACCCTTGTCACCGAATAGATTTTTTCTACAGTGCAATACGGTGAAAATGTTCTCAAAGATTATTGAAAAGTTACAGAGACAATTCATTTTATAAAAATCGTCTTATCTCTTTATCCCTGACAATAGTGAAGATGATACAAAAGTTATAATCATTAGGACAAAATACTCGATATTCCAGCGGAAACCACACCATAAACCATCGAGTGGTTTCTGAGGTTCAAGGCAACCAAGTGGCATAATAGCAATAAACAATTGTGTACTTGTTTTTATCGTCTAATTTAGTATATTTAGATCACTTAGAGAAAGGTACACTATGCCAAATCGATATTCGCGGACTGTCTTAATGACTTAATCGAAGTTAATAAAATAATTCGAAGTGGTCCGTATTCTGTCGAAACTGCCAGACGCGGATCGCGATTTCGATCTTTTTGGATCTCATCAGCGCGTCGCAGGCAGCTCCGACACAACACAGACCAACTTTTACCTGCTGTATTAACAGTCCGTTTTAGAAAATACTACAAATGGCGCAGTAAACGCCATCTGTAGCACGATGCTACATTTTAGGATTACGTATGCTCGTATTTTTTAATCGAAGTTATTTACGGTGCCAGAGGTTTGTGGTTAGGCTTTGATCGGAAACATCTGACAGTAAACGATCGGTCATATTCGTTTGTGCACATCGCTTACGCTGTACCTTTCTCTAAGTGAACGGAACATACCCTTTCTTCTTACTTCTTTTTTTTTAGTCGTATTTTTGGAGTTTTGGCTCCTATCCTTGTTAAGTTGTAAATGAATCTGTAATATTGTTATACACTTACCCTGAAAAACGCCGCTGTCGATCCTCCTCTTAGGGCCCCGTATTTGATTTTCGTCTGTTTTGCGAGATCCTCTGCACTCTCGATGGGCGAATCCATCCGTTCAACTGTGAGGAATGCTGCTAAATTGGCTGTATAGGATGATATCATTATCAGGGTAAAAAACCACCACATTCCCGCCACCATTCTAGTCGACACAGCCCTTTAATTAAAAAAATCGTTTTGGCTGTCCGTTCGTGTCAGAGGTTTCGACTTTCGAATTTGATATCGACTTGAAATTTTCACTTATTAACAATTATACGTATGTAAATCCTTGACCCAGAGACCAAAAGGTTATAGAAAACATTATTTGAAGCGATGTAGCGCCATACATGCAAACAGGGGGCCAAAAATTTATTTTGGACATGTGTTTCTCCTATTTTTAATGTGTCCACATTAGAAATGGATGAAACAAGTGTCCGCAGTGAATAACTTTTGTGGTAACTATACATGGTGAACCTCTTTTTTATTTTTAATACTTTTGTTACTCCTACAAGTAATTTCAAAAATATTAATCATTAATTTTTGATCACCAAGACGATTTGTATTGTACAAAATCAAACTGTTCCCGCGACAAAAGCAGTTTCCTTTAAACGTTTACGATATTACTTTTAAAAGGGTTATTAAACTATATGTTAAAGTCGTTAGCCCCTAACTTTGTTGATTATTCGTTGTAATGTAGTATATTGTACATTAGGGTAGTCCAAAATGTCTTTTTCATTTGCTTTTCTTTCAACCAGTTCAATAGTACATAATACATAAAAAAGAAATTTGGAATTACACCACAATTTATGTACATATTTTATTATTAGAACATGCTATGAATAAAAAGCAACTTTTAAAATCTTGAGATATTATCAAATATTATAAGTCTGGTCTAGTACGTGTGCATATTTGCAAATGAGAAATGTTTGTATAAAAATGTGGTTATACGGCTTCCAAAACTGCAAAATTGAGCGTCATTTTTGAAAAAATATTGATATAACTAATTAATTGCATAAGAATAGCTTTTTTGTGTCCAAAACAAAAAATATACGATACGTCTTCTCCGAAATACTAATTAGTTTCTTCTTGTTTTAATTAACATTTAGTTGGTATCTATATTCGTTATTTGCAAGATATTTTATGGAAATTAAATGCGACGAAAAGAGCTCAGCAGGTCCAAAATAGCATCAAAATAAAATCACACATGCCAATTAGCATAAACTTCAGTCCGAATTTGAAAAATTGCGACTTACTTTGGTGCTAAATTGGAGCCCTGCTGCATAAGGGATCCGATTGTAAACCAAAGAGAATTCATGAGGGTGAATTGATTTTCCAAAACTGTAGATTCATGTATACAAAAATGTGGATTTTCCCATTCGTAAGGGCTGAATCTGAAAACGAACATTTCATAGTTAATATTAATTATAGTTACTTACTTGGGTAAAAAATCGCAACCCTGTTGCATCAACGAACCAATAGCAAACCACATGCAGTTTAACAACGTAAACTCATTTTCCAAATGATCTGGATTGGGGTTGCAAGGGTGGGGATTTTGCCATTCGTAAGGGGTAAATCTACGATAAATTACAAAGCATGTTAAGTACAAATTAGACGAGAAGTTTCTTCAGTATTACTGTCCTATAATCCGAGTGAATATTTCCAACCCCTTTACTTAATTACATGATGAATATGTCGGTTTATGATATGTAACTTTATTCTCAACGTGATTAAGTTTCGTGGAGATGCATTAAGTGAGGATGAACTAAATTAGTTTTAACGTTAGTACAGGACTCTGTGGTTACATGTACCATTCACAAACTTTCTCCTAGTTCATCTTACAATTTCTATATTAATTTAATGAGGACTGCTAGTAATAGTGATAAAAGGTAAACGTAATTTACAACAAAAGAAACCTCAAAGTTTTCGAGAAATTTGAAATTTCAGCGGACAGGGTTTACCTACAGCCAGTGGCGTAACATACGTTAGGTAAGCCACACAATAACTTTGTTACATTGTACAACTGTTCTTGTATACGTGTCTATTAATCATTTAACGATGGTCCTTTTAAGATTGATTAAATCAGAAACATACATCGATATTTGTGTCAACAGTGTGTGAAATGTGCTAATGTGTACAACGGTGTCAAATAAATAAATGCGGTGAGCTGTCGGATTTTCCGTATCGAATTTAGCCAACCGTTCCACTTGTTTCATTGTTGGTAGACACGCGGTTGATTTATTTTCTTATTTATTATTACAGAACTCGACCGACATGGAGAAATTAACTGCAATGCAGTCATCTGCTCAGTCTGCCAGGAAATGATATGTATTTACGAAAATGTAACAGTTTTATAGTCAATATTATAATTTTTTAAACATTAAACTGAAATTAGCATTCTAATATCTACATATTGTTCTCACGCCCTCGCCGGGAATAGAACTCGGAATCGTAGCTTAGTGGCGCTTAAACCAAGGGCCCGGGTTCGATCCTCGGCGAGGGCGTGACAGCACAATAACAATTTTTCCGCATTATTTTGCGGTAATACGTAGAATTAATTACAATTTAATGTTTAATATTGGATATCAACCCCTCCAAGTACATTTTCGTACATATATGCCAATATTACAACCTCTAAAGTGACTGGAATCTTAACCTAAAAACAAATATGATACTATTACCTTGCTAGTATAAATAGTAGTACCGAAACTCCCAGATATGCCGTCGCCATGTAGATCCAGACGTCTAGCGATAACGGTGAAAGAAAGGAAAAAAGGTTGGGCGGTTGTTTAATGGGCTTCCTGTATAAAATGCTAATGCCTAGGTTCATGAAGGGCATTGTGAAATCTACTGCTTGTTCGCGATCGTATGTTATTGTGAGATCGGCTATGGCCAAATCAGCCTTTTGATCTAGTAGCTCTTTTATCATTCCGTCCCATTCTTTTGTTTTCTTGTTGTACGACCCGTAACGTCCATCCGGTGCCAAGCGGATCGTGTAGTTGAAGCCGAGAATACGGGAAATTTCGTGAATCAGGTCCACAGCGTATCCCTCAAATTGCGAATTTCCCGTCAACTTTTCGGTAGAATCTTTGCGCATTATATACGGTGAACTCTGTTCGAAACAGAACATTCTATTAAAATACATATCTACCCTCTATAGACATTGCAAACCCCAAGTATTGCTGAATACAGTTGAAGAACGTAACTTTTATATTGATTATTCGATTTAAAACAAACGCAATAGTAGCGGTCCCGCATAGGACCCTTGTGGAGCTCCAGAAACAAGCAACCAATAATTTGAAAATTGTATATCGTTGTATACAGTTAAAGAACGTTACTTTTATATTGATTATTCGGTTTAAAACAAACGCAATAGCAGTGGTCCCGCATATGACCCTTGTGGAGCTCCAGAAACAAGCAACCAATAATTTGAAAATTGTATATTGTTGTATACAGTTGAAGAACGTAACTTTTATATTGATTATTCGATTTAAAACAAACGCAATAGCAGCGGTCCCGCATATGACCCTTGCGGAGCTTCAGAAACAGGNATTTGAAAATTGTATATTGTTGTATACAGTTGAAGAACGTAACTTTTATATTGATTATTCGATTTAAAACAAACGCAATAGCAGCGGTCCCGCATATGACCCTTGCGGAGCTTCAGAAACAGGTAACCAATAATTTTAAAATTGTATATACTAAACATCAAATCCAAAAGGTTTAAACGTTAACACTGCGGTTAATGAATACGACTGATAATTTCTAATTGTAGAAATGACGTTATTAGAGGATATGAAATTCACAGAAGCGGTTAATTACTTTTTTTGACATGAGTGGATTTATTAAATAGGATCACAAACATAATGGTGAGCAACCAGTGTAATAATATATATGTACGTATACACTGCATTCAAATATTCATGAACTGTGTAACATCGTAATCTACTTAATTACCAAAATCCGTCCTTGCAGCAACTTGGTTATTAATTTCATCGTCATTAGTGCATTTTCAAGGGGCTGCAATTAAAAATGCAAAAGAGGAAGTGAGAATGGGGCAAGTGATGACATAAGTACGAACTAACTACCACGTTTTCTTGTCGGGATCAAAAGCCTATTCAATTTAAATTTCACCAACAGCAAAGGTCAACTATCATGAGCATTTTTCTTTGTTTATTTCATGTAGGTCGTCAGAGTGTAATAATGTTTGTAGTGATTGAACGAAAAGTGATTCTCACCAAAATCGTCGTGACGACGAAGGTCTTGTTCTGTAGAATTTCGACGATTTGAGTGTAGGCCTCTCCGTATGTCCTGGTGAAATTAACTCCCCTAGAAGCGTTCCAACTGCCAATTTTCTTCAACCCTTCCCTCCCTAATTCGACGATATCTAGCACGAAGTCGCTCCGGAAACCCTGGTGATCGAATCTGATTATACCAGTGAGGCCTCGCATCTCAACCTAATTGAAATAAATGCAACAGTAAATGTCAAGCCGATGCAATTTCCTCTTCGAATGGATTAAGAAGACTTATAAAAGGGCCTTGTTATTATTCTTGCTTCCGTATGGACTCCACGCTCGGAATAATAACCTAAAGCACTAGAAACGGAAACTAGAATTAATTTAAGACAGAAAATGCCTCTGTAAGTCCTACTTTCCCGGTTTAATGGAAGTGTAAGGCCTGCTACTGTTACTACTATTACTACTGCTACTATATATCATCGGCCTAATACTTTTGTTTTTATCCTGTATGCCAGCACATTAAGACCGCCGGGATATAAACGGTAATAAACCTTCCTACCAAATATTTCAAATGGGAAGATGATATAAAATGCCGCTTCTGCGATTTACGATTTCTCGTTAAATGACTTACGACAATCTCCTATACGAAACGAATGAATTAATATCAGAATTAAAGAGATACCTGATCAACGAGGGGTGCAGAATTACTAAATAAAGATAGATAGTGGTACATGGGATAACAGTTTTAGGTGTATCATTCTCACCGGTTAAATGATGACTTGAACTGTGGTACAAATCCGGAGAGTAGAGCAGAAGGTTCTCTTCATATATACAGGGATGGTGGTAGGAAGAGGTGAGGGTAGTTGGGGAGAGAAAGATGAGACGAACTTAATGAAGACAGTAGCGAGGTGATAGATAGAATATTGCTACTGCCCCAGCATTTGCTTAAGTGACCCAAGAAAAACTAGTATCACTGACAGGGAATCGAACCCGAGTCTGCCCGTATACTAAGCAACGGTCTAAACCTCCAGGCCAAATCGCTGGGTACAGGATAACGACAAATGCACGAAGTGATATTTATCTTTCTAAAATTTTCAATTAACGAGTATTAAATGCAAACTAAATTGAATTGTTTTAAAAGAGCGATTGCATTATCCTTTCAAAATAAGCTAAACCAGATTAGCGTTTCGTAAAATCGATGGAGCAGAATAAAAAGGGCGAACCATCAGGAACGATTTACTAAGTACGAGCATGGATAATTTAGAGCGGCATTAGTCAAATAAAGAACGGTCTGGATGTTTTTCTTCCTCGATTTTCTCGTGTTCCAAGCGGCTAAACCCTGTTGAAAATTCGACGATGTCAGCAGGATTTAATTGCAGCAAAATCCCTGGGTTGTAGACTTCCAAAAACACATTATTATTATTGCGCGGTCACAGTTTATCCAAAAAACAAAAAAGTCTAATAACAGTTGAAAGCTTACTATCTTCATGTAGTTAATGAGGCTGTAGCCGTGTGGCCAGGTGTCTACGGCATCACAGCTGAGTGGCTTAATGTCTATCTGTTGGCTGGTGTCCAGGTCGTGAAGCGCCTTGGCGAACAGGTGCACGGCGTCATACATGAGGGCCGTTTCAGCCTGAAAATTGGAAACTATGTTGACAAAAGTTGCTCTTCTCAAAATCGAACAAGAACACAACGACACAAATACCTAGAGAAACAATCTTGTACGCCAACCGTTTTATTGGAAATTTATCTCGTTATTGAACCAGAATTCCTAGGAAAACCATTACCTATCAAAGCACATCACTACTTAGTTATATTTTGTCATACCATGAACAAATTTTTATTTTTAGAAAGTACAACTGTTAGTTTGGAATCCTTTAAGGGACAAACAACAAAAAAATTAATCAAATCGATTTCTTTTCATATTTGTAAAGTTAAATAACTTTATTAGAACCTAAACTTAATCTTGTAAGGGCAGACAAAGTATCCCAAACTGAGAGGATTTTCCAAGTAAAGTTACTAGGTATATTTTGTTTAGTTTTTGTTGTTTATGTCTATGTGACGCTCAGATTGCCTGTCAGCCCAAGATGTTACATTAAGTCAGGCTTTTTACCAGCGAAAATGCATTTTCAGTGTGCATACGACGTATTAAATCTTATACATGCTAGATAAGCAACGAAAATTACCATCCTGATTGCATTAAGTAATTCACAGGCGGGTCGTTACCTTTATATAGTACAGTAATCCTAAATCGATTGAAAAAAACATTTTCTGCAGTAAAAGGCCATTATAATAACCAATGAGATGCTTCCTCTATTTTCCTGATAAGAATAATACTTCTAAATCGTTTTCTTTCAGTTTTGAAGTATTTTTTATTCCTGCTGAAGTTCAACGACAAGATAAATCCTCGCAATCGTCATGTAAATCCGTTGAGTGGCAGCTAGCGTTTCGCAAAGCGTGGATTATCAATTCTATTCAATAGAAAAAGGAGCAAACAAAATTCCGCTTTATAGGTACAGTAAATTAGAATGTTCACTGACAACTGATTGGCGCTTGTATGAAAAATCGGCCCCTCTATGTGTGGGACTGTAGCATCTGGTTCTACATGATAGAGAATTTGTTATCAACTGGATGAAGAGACCTCGTCGGGTCAAAGCTCTGTGAATTCGTAAGGACTGTTCTCACGGGATGCATATAACACTTTTGTCGAACTACCTGTTTGATTCTTATCATATCTGCAAGATTTGCATATGTGAAGTTTACATCAAAGTAGAAGTTCCTTTAGGTACGATTATTCCATTACAAGGGATAAAAATCCAATTTTATTCTGTTTGTGCAATAGTTTTAGTTTTTCTGAACTTTCTTCTTCAATTCCATTGCAGTTGTTTCTCAAAAATAATTAAGTGTATTAGGTATCGCAGTTTTCGAAGGTTACTACTTCAAAGTAACTATTTTAATCAAAATTTCTCTCATATTGTTGAATATAATAGTTATAATTTTGTTTCCGATATATATCATTGTTGTTGACCACAGGATTTTTATGTACGGTAATCAAAAAGTAATTAATTTCCTTTTCAATTACAACACTCCGATGTGGTGTTTCTCAAGGGTCTAACTGGGGGCCTCTATCCTTACAGTCCGGAAAATGTGAATTACTCAAGCATCATTATATTGTATAAATAATTTTCTAAAGGTTTATCTAATGGATAACTAGCATCGGTCGTAGTACTACACATCGCCATATTGAGAGAATCAAAAAACTAAACAAGAAACTGATGTTTCTTTCTAATTTGGCCCAATAGTTCAGTTGATATTAAAATTCGTCTTGCGTAGCTTCATTTGTAATGAAGTATATTTATGTTAAATTGGTATTCCTGTCTTTTGCTGACCCTTGACGGCACGTGACATGGTAGTTAACAACGTTTTGAACAAGGCGTACAATAATCTTCGCATATTCCCGACGACGTCTTTTGCCCAATTAAACTTCCCTCAGACCCCAAACAAATACACCCGTATGTATGTATAAACTTTAATCGAAACTTTTTTAATCAAAATTTGAAAAAACGAACAAATAGATACACGGAATCCTAACCGGAGAACCAACTTAACATTATAGTTGAAAAGAAAAACATGTTCTCCTATCTATACATGTATCATGCACCTTATGATTGTAAATAAGGTCACTGTTAGTCCTTTAGAAAACAGAGAACAATTATTTTCTGTAATTACTATTAAAGTTTTAGTAATAAGTACGTAGACACTATATGTACTGCTAAAGATTTTTGGTACCTACACAATTTTAAGTTCAGATTGATTTTCTTTCGGTAAGTACCTCGCATTCAAAGTTTTAAATCAGTTTCTCTTCTACTGTCGATGCTACACATTTTTCAAACATTTCAGGTGATATATTTCCCTTTACAAATTTTTTATTGATTTTCAGTTCCCATGTACTACGCTACAGTAAGATATCAACGAGCCGCCGCTGGTATTTACCTGCACAAAGGTAGTTGTCGTTGTCTTCGCCATTTATACTTGTTATGTTGGAGTGTAAACGGTGCAGTTGTGTATGGAAGCTTATTAAAACCGTATCTGTTCTTGCGAGACCTGGTGTGAATGGCGCGCAGCTTCATTTGCATACTTTATTTAAGATATAATCTAATAACCATTGTAGGGATGCATTACGCTGTCAAATAAACAACGTCGCTTTGATGACCTCTATAGAGTTCAGAATTCACTTATTCTGCCATTCATGTCTTTAATATATATAGTTATTTAGGTTTAGAGTCCATTGTTTAGAACGAATTTGCGCGTATTTGGTGTCCTGTCCAGGTCTAGGAATTAATTAATTCTGTGCACAATTGGATCGGACGCACGTACAATGCTCCAAGTGCTTTTCGACACGGAATTTTTAGTTTAATTAATTGCATTTGTAAATAAGGTCACTGTTAGTCCTTTAGAAAACAGAGAACAATTATTTTCTGTAATTACTATTAAAGTTTTAGTAATAAGTACGTAGACACTATATGTACTGCTAAAGATTTTTGGTACCTACACAATTTTAAGTTCAGATTGATTTTCTTTCGGTAAGTACCTCGCATTCAAAGTTTTAAATCAGTTTCTCTTCTACTGTCGATGCGTTAGATGTCGTAAAAGGTGTTAAAGAAACAAATCATGTAAGAAACCGAAGTTATTGATTACCACACTTAACATGATGAGGATTGGGTTCAGCTAAACAAAGATAAAATTTAATACGAAAAACACCATGGAGTGATACTCAAGGCCCTCCTAAGAGATAACCTATATATTCAAAACCTTTTCCGCTAAAAATTCTTACAATAACAGCCTTCACTGTCAACTTCGAATCTCATTCCCGTTTTTTCTTTATACATATAACGGCCATGAAACTTTCTTTTGTTTCGTATTTTATATGCCTTTTCCACATTTCTTATGTTACAACGTCTATCATAGGAAAAAAACAAATTTAATTCCTCATGAAATGGGGTATTTTAATATGGAGTTCCCCAGGGATTGGATCCTCTACTTACTAGGTTACGGTTACTGCTGTGTTAGCTAGTAAATTTATTTTATGTGACACACGTCAAGAGACTTTGTTATCCTCTACTATTTCCTAAATATCTTCAACTAAAATAATAAAATTCGCACGGTTTCTGGCAGTTTTTGAATAGGAAATATGCTATTTCTAGGTGGAGTTCCGCAGGGGTTCGTCTGGGGACCCCTATCATTATAACACTCTACCAACTGTACTGCATCTACAGTTAAAAAGTTACTAAAGGTTTTGTACAACCGTACATATACACAATGGTATGTAATTTGTTATAAGTACAGTAAAATGTAACCAACATTTTTTATTAAAAATTGGTACTCGAATCGAAACTTCGTTACAGTTTTCAACCGGGACATACGGAACGCGTTCGCTTTATTTACGGTAACTCCGTTTCATAAAAGTCTAGTCAGAGATCTCAACACTAAGTGATGCCGAAGTTATCTGTTAACTTATGTGCTGCATGTACGCGTTCAAGAATTTAATCTTTCTTGCTAGTTTTGAGTCATGGCGGATGCCAACATCGACTTGCACTTTAAACTTGTTAAACTACAAGGAAACTTTGTTGTCTTTGCTTATCGCAGTTGGCNTTCGCAAATAGTTAAGGATGTGGGCTGTTCTAGTTTTAGGGAAATGCGAAGTTTAGCTCAGGATAGGAAAGAGTGGAGGTACGTGTCCAACCAGTCTTAGGACTGATGACCTTATGATGATGATGATGAGGATGAGGACAATTTATCTCGTTTTACAACTTTATCTACTTGGCGATTGTAAAAATATAATCAATTTTTAGAGGTTGTAGAGTTGCTTCTGTACTCGTTATTTCCATTAACTAAAAAGTATTTTTTACTTCTTCATTGAATCCTTAATTCTGAAAAGATTTGACCTTTCCTTTCTTCTTGAAAAAGGAGTATAGGATTAAAGTTCCTTAAGAAAGAAATGTTTTATTCAAATCTAAAATCTATGACGTAAAAGTCTCTTAAAAAGACGCTCTTACTCCTTCGAGTGTATATTCCATACTTCACCCCCGAGACAACGAATTCCTTGCTTATTAAAAGGAAAAACATTCTTGTTGTTGTCCAGACAGTAGCAAACATAAATTAAACTGAGTTAATCCAAATGGAATTATACATTTACCCAAAGAGGTGTATTAAAGAGGGAGCATGAACGGTTTATATTTTTTGGGCAAAATTTGAAGAATTTTGTTTCTTAAATTTTACTTTGATTAATATCTACCTACACAAACTTTTTACCTGTACCGTAGAACAAAATATTAAGCAATTTATAATAATGCAGGACTGCGAGGACTTGGGCAACTTGGAAAGAATTTCCATTATCCCTAAAGTTGATTATATCAGAGACGTCTTCGAACCCGTAAAATGATTTGTAAGTCTAATGATGAGTGGTTTGCTCGGTCGTACAAAGTTGGAAAATCAATTTTCAGTCTCCTGTCTACAAGAATTTCCTTTCCTAATTCATCAGCACCTCTCCGAACTTTAATACAACACCGCAATGTATATTGAACGCATAAGGCTTACCTTCACAAAAGTTCTGTTGTCCTGGAAGGCGTGAAACAAAAAGCAATGATATAAATATTCGGTTTTTATGTCCTTTTTCAAACGCGTTAGATGTCGTAAAAGGTGTTAAAGAAACAAATCATGCAAGAAACCGAAGTTATTGATTACCACACTTAACATGATGAGGATTGGGTTCAGCTAAAGAAAGATGCGTTAAGATAAAATTTAATACGAAAAACACCATGGAGTGATACTCAAGGCCCTCCTAAGAGATAACCTTTATATTCAAAACCTTTTCCGCTAAAAATTCTTACAATAACAGCCTTCACTGTCAACTTCGAATCTCATTCCCGTTTTTTCTTTATACATATAACGGCCATGAAACTTTCTTTTGTTTCGTATTTTATATGCCTTTTCCACATTTCTTATGTTACAACGTCTATCATAGGAAAAAAACAAATTTAATTCCTCATGAAATGGGGTATTTTAATATGGAGTTCCCCAGGGATTGGATCCTCTACTTACTAGGTTACGGTTACTGCTGTGTTAGCTAGTAAATTTATTTTATGTGACACACGTCAAGAGACTTTGTTATCCTCTACTATTTCCTAAATATCTTCAACTAAAATAATAAAATTCGCACGGTTTCTGGCAGTTTTTGAATAGGAAATATGCTATTTCTAGGTGGAGTTCCGCAGGGGTTCGTCTGGGGACCCCTATCATTATAACACTCTACCAACTGTACTGCATCTACAGTTAAAAAGTTACTAAAGGTTTTGTACAACCGTACATATACACAATGGTATGTAATTTGTTATAAGTACAGTAAAATGTAACCAACATTTTTTATTAAAAATTGGTACTCGAATCGAAACTTCGTTACAGTTTTCAACCGGGACATACGGAACGCGTTCGCTTTATTTACGGTAACTCCGTTTCATAAAAGTCTAGTCAGAGATCTCAACACTAAGTGATGCCGAAGTTATCTGTTAACTTATGTGCTGCATGTACGCGTTCAAGAATTTAATCTTTCTTGCTAGTTTTGAGTCATGGCGGATGCCAACATCGACTTGCACTTTAAACTTGTTAAACTACAAGGAAACTTTGTTGTCTTTGCTTATCGCAGTTGGCATTTTGAACGTCGAAAAAGCTCGAAACCGAAAGATAAAGAACCGACTTAATTATTTATAGCAGTCTATTTACGTAGTCACAATGTAATTAAATTTAATCGATAAAAGAACGAAGTGACCTATATCGCCGATTTTCTGGATAGTATATATATTACAATAAGTGAATAAATTGCGTTTAAATCTTTTAAACAGCCCTTGTAATGACCGTAATATTCTCAATAAATAACCAAGTGAAGAGCTAAACGCGTGATCGCCGTACTTCTGGCAGCGCGAGCGGAATGCTATGTAACGATGACGTTAGCGGCAAGTTTGTAGGCCTAGCGCTCCTCGCATAGGGAAGAGATCGTAGCAGTTCTATCAATGTACTTCATCATACGTCAATACTACATATTCTGGATGTTATTCGGGGATGGGGGATTGTTATGGACAGGCAGTACTAGGTATACACTTTTACCTACCTAGCTTTCTCCAACCTTCCTAGAATTAAGCAAACCGTCTAAAAAAAGTACAAATGTTCTGTTAACCGGATATTTATGGCTACGTCCTCGAATTTGACTCGAGGACAGCTTTTTAGTAAATTCTTTGAATTCACCCCAAGCCAGCCGAGGGTATATAAACCTCTGGAAAAGAGAAAGCAAGGGAGAACATCTAAGCACTCATCTAAAATCGTTTCTAAATCGTCACTGTCTCGTTCCATAATTGTAGTTAAAGTTCATTAGTAAATAAATAGTGTATTGTTAATTTTAATAAAGTATAATTAAGGACTTATCGTTGCCGAAAGTTTGATTTTGACTTCCAAGTCTTAACCATCTCGCAGGAACCCTAATTTAAAGTTCCCGCGTATAAATATATATTTATCGGGGACACAACATTATAAATTTAGAGAGATTCTGCATCCGTAAAATTATATGTCACAGTTCACAGTAACACTTACACTGTACCTGTAGCAGTTCCAATAACACCAACACTATTTCGACTTATTATAATATAATTTGTCACTGTTTACTCGAACTACTAACTTCCTTCTTCACTTTTAGACCGCAGGTGTAATTGTTTCACTTTATTAAATTATTTTGATATAAAAAAAAAACATTCACTCACTTGTTTCACTTTTCTTCGTCTTTTCTCGCAATATATACGTGTCTTCTTCAGTATATTTAAAATAATTAGAAACTAAACCATTTAGTTAATTATCCTTTGGAGTTTTTGACGAAAATATCTTGAGTCCGTCATCAGAAACAGTTACAACAATATATTCTGTTGTTCTTTTTCGAACAAAAGTTATTTGTTAGTCTTCGCGTTCCTCGAACGCGCGTTAACGAAGAGCATATTAGCTAATACAGAGATTTACGTTCTTTTTTGTTAGACACATTTTTTGTTCGGTCTCGACCGATTGCGAAATGATTTATTATTGTTCTGGTGCTAATGTTTGAGGAGTGCTTTTAGTCTTACCCTTTTTCGTTTGACCGGCAGCAGCGATCTGAGAATTTTCGTAAAATTGCTGCTTTTATGAATCGACGGCATTATCGTACTCGATCATCCTCTACTAAGTTCCTTTTTCAATACCTCCTGTCCGTTTTTAAAACGGGTTAGCCATTGGATTATAGTGCTCGAATTGGCCGGCTCTCCAAATTTTTCATTCAGGCGACGTATGGGTTCCGAATTTTCCGGAGCGTCGACCACTTCTTTCTATAAAAAAAAAAACAAGCAGCGTTTTTTTCTTAATGCTTCTGTGCACCTTCGGTTAAGTTAATATGTAAAAATTCAGTTTCCCAGTACACACTGCATAGTTTTTTAACACTCAAAGGTCAAATGTACTTAATTTTATATGTCACACCTAAATATACCTATGTTTAACACACCACAATTTATTAAAACTCATTGTATCCTATTGTGTTCTATTACACCAAACTAGGAATCCTTTTTTATCCATCCTTATCCTTATATCCATAAACAAAATCACCAGGAGTTAATCCTTAATTTCTAATAGACACGCTCCCCTTCTTGTAAATGTTCATGGAAGAAATAAATTTAATAGTTGTCTTCATAATTTTATCAAACATTTGTTAATTATTAAGAAGTATTCTAATCTAATCCTATAAAAATATGCACATGTACCTATATCCCCAGTATTAAGCCTTAAAATACGTTAGTCATTCGCCATAATCATCCTCTAGGAACAATCTCTCAATCCAATCTTGTTTTCCTGTTCGAGCTACTTCTTTAGGTATTATTTTTTTGTGAAATATTTAAATCTAACATTATCTCAACTGAATTTAATCTTTCCATTTTTGGTTCATTATTAAATAATTATTTGTTTTTCTCGTGGAAAACACGTGGAAAATCGCTTGTATTGAACCCAACCTTTGTCATTCGTATTTACCAATAACTTCTCACTCACAAACACAATATTTTTGCGACATATATTACATAATTAACTTAAAATATTGCAGAGCAAAATTTGGCGGAAATGAATTTATTATATTTCCGTATCTAGAATAACGATTTTGACGATTTTATATTGTGTAAATTATACGGTTGTTACTGTATCGAAAAATCGAGTTTCATGTAGTCACAATTAATTAGTAGAAACAAATTATCTGTACAACTACCACGGGGCACAATGTAATAATAATTATTATTTATTAATAGGATGGCTTTGAAACAGTGAACTATTCCATCTGTGATAGAAATTCGCATAGAAATTATTTAGTACAACCAAATTTCGAAATTGTTTTTCAATATTAATTACGTATGTCGTCAATTATTATTGTAACAAAATTTGATAAATGTAAAATGCTTTCAAAATTATCCCTATGATCTCTCGTGTTTGTACAGACACAAAATGGGTTGTTTATTTCAGTTTTTGTTCATCATTTTACTGAGAAATTTCATATTTTGTGCTTCAAAATTTCGTAACATTTTCGGAATTTTCTTTGATTGTAAATCTCGTGATTAATCGCTGCGTTAAATGACTCTATTGAAATTTTTTTGTAAAAACGTGACGACGGCCTAATAATAATATTCCTTTACTCGCAAAATTAATTAAAAGATAAACAGATAATGCGTTCGAGTTCGTTCGTTCTACTTTGTCGAGTCTATTCTAATTTCGTAAATTACTAAGGTAGCGTGAATTGTTGGAAATTAATTTAAATGTACCTATCTCGAGGGGCGCCCGGTGGTTCACTCGCGGAAGCGAAGTTTTTGTATAAAGAACTGGGGTTCGAGGGAAAATTCTTAACAAGTGAAAAGGCCTAATTGCTTTATTATTGCTTTCGGTGGCGAACTGAGAACTGAAAACCTTAATTAATAAGATCTGAAACTGGGCAGATTGTCTAATATAACAAATTACTCTCTCGTTCCGTTCGTTTCTTCTTGCTCCTTCTACTCTAGGCTACCAGTCACAGTCGAAAAATTTTCAAAACTCTAATAGATAAGCAACAAAATACACAAACATCTTGTTATCTTAATGTATCAACATCAAAGATATCAGCCAATAAATCAATTCATTTTTGTTTGGAATTCTGTAGGTAGTCCTTAAATTTAGATAAAATGTCAAAATTTACAAATTAAAATGCGAAAAATCCCTTCAAATTCTACAGTGGACAAACACATAGGTCAACTGACGAAAGGATCACATAACATAAAGAATATTAACTTACGTAGAAGACGAACAGTTTAAATCTTATTATTTAAAAAGCTTCTTCAATGAGTATTGTCAGAATGTAAATATTCAAGAGATATTATAAAGTGATAACATATTTCCTTAATTTATTGTTATGTTTACGTCTATTATTAGTCTTCTTTGGAGCGAACTGTTGCTAGTGTTTTGTAGTATGTATTAGCGTACTAAGCACTATTAATTACGGAATTGCTAATTTAATTATGTGTATTATATAACAAGGACCGTACTACCGAAAAAATTCTATGTAAAACGTTTTGATCTGTGAACGTTTATTTTCTGTGTTAACGAATGTTAGTTCGGTTTATGATATTTCTGTTTAAAATTAGCCGTAATCTATTTATTTCACGGCTTTGTCTCATGACACAAAGGGCAATTCATCACTTGTCATTTTACAATTCGGTCGGTAACAGGCGGAAAACAATAAATATACCCGGCAATTAGAGAACATTATTTGAAATATGAGGCGCTGATCGGTCCATTATTACATTCAACAGTTTACCCTCTGTTTTATTTTACGAAAACAAATGTAGATAGCATATTTTTTACGTAAAAAATTATTAGAATATCTTACCACGAATTGGTTCGACTCTGGCTTCCGGTTCCGGTTATTATCATTAACAGCCATAGCTTGCCACACTTTTAATATCTTCCTCACTTCCGGACCATCAGGATCCACCAATCGGAAGGCTGTTATGTTTGTACCGCCATATTTAAATTCTTCCAAATCTACTCCGTGAATATCCTGAAACAATAACAGGACGTTTCCTTATTGTTAGATCCTAGGCTTAAACTTTTACGTAATTTAATCTGGGCGGAAATAAACGATTGGAAAAAGTGAACGAATCTAAATGTCTATACTTGGATGTATGTTTGGTTGCATATACACATATCATGAAAATGTCGCCGAATATAAAATGTAGGTATAGGAACAACAACAAATGTATAAGTAGATGTTTTTAAAGCTTATGTAAATGATTTCCTCCTCGCATATTCATTATAAAACGCTGCAGTAAATGCAATTGGCAAATATGCTGCAACATTTCATAAAAATTGGATGAGATATCTGTCAACAAATGTACGTAACGAGACCTTTTGTTCGACTAATTGCTATTTGAAGCGGCACGGTAAAACAATTCAACTAACTACGCCTACTACTGGCATATTTTTTAATTGAGCCTTTTTTGCACGACATCTTCACCCAGATAGTAATTTTTCCATGTACTGTCGCAGTGTGGAATCGTTTTTCGTATGTTGAATTTTTGTTTTTGTTTCCTGCATCTAGAATAACGCCCAACTGTACCATTTAAAACAAAAAAATCACTGTACACGAAGCCTGGACTGCACGGGAGGTGCATTTGAAATGCCAGTTGCATAAGTAGAACAGTCTCGAGTAGTTGTTAATGTGGAGATTGTAATTTTCTTAAAGTAAGCCACTTGGCAAATGTCGTAAAATACCCAAGAAACGGTTATTATTATCAATTTAAATTTTTATCTATTCACATGGTCGCCAGCAAAACTCGTTAAAACTTTTGTAGAAGTTTGCGTAAGGAGAAAGTTTGAAACGATATTGTAACGTTTTATGAAATTCTACCCCCATGGAAAGCTTTAATAAAGGGAAGAAAAATTATCTGTGTCTACATTTCCGAAATAAGTTAATAAAAATTTTCTTCTCCAAAGTAAAGAATGAAATTAAAATAACCTATGGTTACACTGTGCTAAAAAAAAGATAAGGTAATATAACGTTGAATATTTATAGAAAGATATTACATATTGTGGCGAGCACGAGCGTGTTTGTGTGCGATCGGACACACGTGTGCATGAACGGCTAGCTGCGGGCGCCTTTCTTCATGTGCGCCGCATTTGTAAATGTGTGTGTCGTACCTGCGTTCTGGGAAAGCAGTTAAACAGTTCAAAGAAAAATAAACTATCCGGACGTTTTCCAGAAGGTTCCCGAAAGTAAACAAAAGAATATTTAAAGAAAGAGACGATCGCCGAAAGGAGGAGAAATAAATTGACCGTTGGAGAAGTGAATCCAGAAATAAATTGACAGTGATAGCAGTAAAATAAATAGCGCAGTGAATAGTAATATATCAACAGTAGTGTAAATAAATAGTTTTTGTCGTTATCAGTCTTAGAAGCTAATTATGTTAAACCCACGAACATTACAATATTGTGCCTGCATAAAAAGATTCAGAAAACTATAAAATTTGTAACAGTGAACCTGTTTGCGTTAGATTTATTTGAACTATTGTAATAACAGTCATCAAATTTTTATGACATCAATATTCTCATATGTAGGATTCCTGAAACTTGAAAATCTTGGTTATTGCGGGGTTTTCAAAGCAACATTTTGTTTAAAATGTTTGTTATAGAGCACAAACTACCTTTCCTTCGATGAATTTTATGGTCATACAACTATGAAGTGTCCTGCGAGCTCAACTCTTTATTACCTTACATTTCATGGAGTGTCATGTCTTTTTAAAAAATATGGAGCTTCCACGCAATTGTTGGCAAACAATGTGTTACATTTTACTTCATTAGAAGTTAGTTTTCAATTTTAAATGGATAAAAATGTAACAATTTCCTTAATATAAATATAATTCTTTCTTTAAACTATAGCCTAACTATTTTTTCATTCCTGTTAACTTCCCCTTTACTTCCTTAAGAATGCCGTCTACGTAGTCGTATTGAAAAGATAAGCGAGAAGGTACTCGGTCGACAATTTCGCTGAAATATAAGAATTCCGAAGGGAATTGAAACAGAATTTTATTCAGGTAAACAATAAAAGTAGCGCACCTACATGTCAAGGGACTGTTCAGGAAAGGTGAACGCGATTCAATTGTCTGTTAAACAATTTCCTTCTATAAAACGCGACCAAAATAGAATATACAATAGAAATACAGAGTGATCATAAAAACATATTGCACTCGCTATCGAATAATTTATACTGATAAAATTATTCTAAAGAAGTTAAGTTTTATTATTGTGTGCTTACCTGCGATTATCTTTCGATTTCCAAAACAAATTTTTAAAATTTTAGGCTTGGTATCGTTATACGAAGCAGTAACGTTAATATACTTCATTTACTTTCTCTAGCTATGTGCCCCTTCCAATGTCTTGTATGCGCGCTAGCAAAATCGTAGGTAGGGAGAAAAAAGCTCAGTATACTCTCGACTCTTGTTCATTAAACATACTTTTCAATACAGTACCTGCCAAAAGTTTTGTTCAATCATGAATAGTAGTGCGAGTCGAAAACAAGCGTTAAAGCCTTTAATATGTCTTCAAATATAAATAAACATCTCGTTGATATTTTCAGTAGTAAATGGTACCAATTACAGCACATTTGAGCAATGCTATTGTACTGGATAAAATGGTCAATTTTTCCGTGCAGTACTGTACAGATTATACGCTCCTCACCGGTTAAGAGTTCGACCGAGAGTTGTCTCCTTTCTTTTACGGTCTAGTGCTGTTCTTTTCTACTTTGCGCCAGTCAAACTGAAGGTCACATCGCTACAGAAACTAAACGAAGTATAAATGCGGAGTACCCCAAGTAGTTATGTTAGGACCACTGTTATTTTGCGTGGCCTTAAGTCTAAAGTAACAGAAGGAGTTCCGCAAGATATTGTATCGGGGCCAGATCTATTTTACTAAATTACCTTCCCAATTGCGATATCTTCTCTGTTCTTTGGGTGAGTTTATGATATTGAGTAGTCTTTGTTTTTGTGCCCTGCAGGTCGTTAGGGATTCTGTAGATACCCACGTTTTCGAAAAAGGCATTTATCCGACTAATAAATTATTCAGAATACACTTACGAAGAAACTGGATACGAAATTACTACGAAGTGTAAATATATGTATGTGTAGGTAAGGTACCTTCCACAGCACCTTCTCGTTCTCGAGCAATATATTTCTACGTCCGAAGGAGAATAAGAATTGGTTTCGTGCCGCAGAAAAGACCCAAAAAACAAACAGAAAATAAATAAAGCTGCCGCTAGTCTCATCTTCTATTTGCTTACCAAGACAAATGGCCTCAAAGGGCACACTTGGAAACAAAAATATACATGTCCTGCTTCTTAATCAAACGAAAACAAAATTGAAATTTTCTTCAACGGAAAAGTGACAAGAAAATCCATATAATGAGGCGTTTCGCGTGTTTCGGACATTTTAGAGATCGTTACTTTAAAAGTCCAGAAATTGTGAACCTTTACCCTACTCTTACTGGCGTTTCTGATGGAGTTAATTGGAAATGTCAAAGTTTGACTTGTAGAGTTCTTAACCGTAACTGATTCTAATCATGAACTGACTGAAACAAATTGCGTAGGTATCAGAATCTTACTGTAAATTATTGTACAATACAAAAGTATAAAAAGTTATTTCAAAGTTAACAGAACTGAAACACAATTTTACTAATTAATTGACGTTATCAGAATTTCAAAGTTGCTTATAGTTTCAAAATGCGGCAGTCAATTTTGTTTTCGATCAGATTTCGATACCACAAATCATTATTGATTTAATGGCGACATTGGAAGAATAGAATTTGGCGTCAGCCTCCTTCCTGATAGTTCGATCCCTGATAAAGGAAGTGGCCAAACATTCTACTTAATAATTTACGCTTGTTCAAATGGATCAGACTGGTTTAAAATCTACCAATAATTCATGTTCCCTGCCCAAATTTCCGCTTCAAACGATGTGCGCTAAATTGTTGGAAAAGCTTTACCTTTTCGAAACTTATATTTTTAAGCAAAATTATTATGAAGATTACTCTGCTCTTAGTTGATAATAAAAAAAACGTAGCAGTGAAAAAAGTACATAACAGACAAGTACCTACAGTTCTAAAAATTTATATTGCTTTTTAAACCTGGCAAAGACCAAAGACAAAATTATATGTCCTGATACAGATCTTAGAAGCGTTGTATTATTTCGATACACTATCAAAATAGAAATAGAACTTAAATGTTCTTACCAATGAGGTAATCAGATAGCTGTGATAGTCACTCATCATTCCAATCTGCTGAGCCTGCTTCAATACGTCATAGATCTTCTCAGTGGTGCAATCCAATACAATGTGGGATTCCGCAGTATTTTTGATTTGCTTCAACAGAGGTCTGAAACAATAACAAAATCTTATTGAGATAACCATAATTTAAGTCACTTATGTTTACATAATATTGGTCAGAATTTATCCTATTTATTATTTTATAATATAGTAGGTTCTTGCACTTGAAGAAGCTACTGTACTATACTTCGTTTACTTTCTGTAACGATGTGACCTTCAGTTTGACCGGCGCAAAGTAGAAAAGAACAGCACTAGGCCAGAAAAGGAAGGAGACAACTCTCGGCCAAACTCTTAACCGGTGAGGAGCGTATAATCCGTACAGTACTGCACGGAAAAATTGACCATTTT